AATGAGGTTTTTTCTTTTTTTTTTAACAACTATCTTTTTTTCTGCAGCATCTGCTCCTCCAAGCCCAAAACCAAAGCCTTTTCCAAAAGTGTACCTCTGTATTCTGGAGCACTTAGACCTTGGCTTTCTTAGACATCTTACCAAGTCTTGTCTCAGTGCTGCCTGGGTTCCAAACACAGGGAGAACAACTTCAGAGGCCCTGTTGCATCTCTCCTGTGACAGTCTCCTTCCCAAAACTCAATCTGGATCCTCTGTCCGGTAGCACATTGAGGCGGAAGAACCCTTCGTCTGGTTCTACACACAGATCTTTCTTTGCCTCCCCGTTGGATCAGTTCTGTTGACAGTCCCTGCTGTGGTTTTCCTACACTCTCTGTGGTGGATCTTGGGAAGGTGGGACATGCAAGTGTGCTAAGTCCTTTTAGCAGTGTCTGACTCCTTGCAACCCTATAGACTGTAGCCCATGAGGTTCCTCTGTCCATGGGGTTTTCCAGGCAAGAATACTGGAGTGTGTTGCCATTTCCTACTCCAGGGCATCTTCCCATTCCAGGGATAGAACTGGGTCTCTTGTATCTCCTGCATTGCAGGTGGATCCTTTATCACTGAACCACTGGGAAAGCCCTTGAGATCTGAATAACCTTCATCATAATGGAGGTTGAGGAGAGTGACTGATCTGGTCTCTGAGTAGCTGCTGGGGTCCTACCAGTTTTCTCCAGGTCATCCACATCCATGAGGCCAGACAGCGGAGCTCTGCAGACCCAACCAAGCTTCCTGATTATCCTGGAAAGCTGCAGGCCTGTGGCCTCCAACAGGATCCCTACCCATATAAGGTCTTTGGCTTTTGGGATAAACCAGTCCCACAATATTTCTTTAAATAAAGTTGAGCCACTGGGTCTGCATTTGATATTTTTAGTTATGTAAGACCAAGCAGCAATTGTAGGATTTTTAGCTTTGCCGTTCATGTTCAGTAATTGTTTTTGAAATCAGATGAAACAACTTCTGACCCTGCAAATCTGATTTCCCCAATCATGCCTGCTACAAACATGGGAGCTACAGCCAAATGTGAATAAGCCTATTAAAGTACTGGCACAAAACCAAGCTTTCCCAGAAATCATAATAAGAATAACAGCATTTATGTTTTTTTTTGAGAAGCCTTCAAAACCCTTTCACAGGCCTGGCTTCATTTTACCCTTACAGTGAAGATGGTTTCACCTCCTAAGAAATGTAGACAAGCTTAAACTCATTGAAAAGCTTGCACTGCAGCTTTCAGGAGGCGTCTGTCAAATGCATGTGGCAGCTTTCAGTGAAATACCATAAACAAACTCATCACGACACACAGTATGCAGACTACGCTCTTAGGACTCTGATTTTGCAAAATCACTGTCCACCACAATGGACTGCAGTCACTCTGATGTGTCTATAACTCAAGATTCTTTTTAAATACAGCTGTCCTCCACATCATGCCTGGAGCCAGAAGGATCAGCTTCCAGTCATCCCATTCACTCTCAGCTGGGATGAGGTTTGACTGATAAAGAGAGGCAGCCAAGTAAAAGGGCTGCGGGGAAGACTGGCTGGGGTTTGCCGGCTCTAGCTAGCGCCATGAATTTCACTACATCGGTGGGGTATCTGCTCCCTTTTCCTTGGGTGAGAAGCTCGTGCCTCTATGAATAAATAAATAAAGATCCAGAAGAATTAAACACTCCGTTACAGATGGCGGAAAAAAGCTCTCTGCACATCCGACTGTTCCCTTAAGAGCACGTTTTTTTCTTCTCATCCCAGGAACGCTGTCAAAGGAAACGTGGTTCAATACTGGCATCCTGTGGCCACAGAAATTCATCAAATCTCTGAAACTCAGCTCCTCCGGTTCTGAAGTTCCCCGGCAATCTGAACTCAGCAGTCTATCTCCCTGTTTCCTGAATACTGTTCCAGTGACCTCTTTTTTTTTTTTTCTTAAATGGAAGCACCCTCCGTAAGATGTGTTTTGATAAACTATCATTTCACAGGGCTAATCTGTTCATGTATATTTGGGTGAAAATAAGTGATGGTATCAAGGCTAAAGAACGTTCCCCAACAGAACAATCTGATGTTAAATCTGCACACAGGCCACCTAGCAGACGCTCTCTGGCCTCTGAGTTCACACTGAGTTTCTCCCGCCCCAAACACAAACAGTTGGGAGAGGAGACGAGACAGTGGTTCAGTGTTGTCTGTGTGTGTGTTTTGTTTTGGCCAAAGGCTAGGAAAATACTTGCTACAGCCACAATAAATATTATGAACTTTCTTTATTTTACTACAGGAATGCTGCCTAAGAGGAAAATCAAACAAAATTACAGAGGACTGTTGCTTTTTGCAGACTCACTTTCAAGGCAGCTATAAAGATAAAGGGTTACAATGATCGCAGTTTAGAGGCAGATTTGCCACGCTCCCTGGTAAGACTCAATGGCATTGTTGAGAACCAAATAACCATTGTGGGACTACTACTTGCTGCTACTTTCACAAATGGCTAACACTACATTTAGAGTCCTTGGAGATGTTCAAAACGCTATTCAAGACAGAAAAATAACAGAAAAGTCAAAATCACACAAGCACAGAAAAACATCAAAGAAGGAACAAGCAGGAAAATCAGTAGTTAATATGCACCAGCAAAGAAATGAAAGAAAATACGCACATGTTAGCAGAAGGAAAGCTTTGTTAGCATTGGCTAACTACAAACAGGAGGGACAAAATGTTTATTCAATAGGGCAAGTAAAAGGAACGCCTTCTCTCATGGTAATCTCTCTCATTGTTCAACTCTAAGGCAACCTACTCTTCCTAAAATTCTCAAGGTTTTCCAGGTGCTCAGGGATTTTAATTGTCTTTAGCTAGTTATTCTGAAATGGACAAAGACTTCCCAGTGGTGAATACCCATCTACTCTGAAAATTAATAAAGAGCAATCCTAATGGCAAATATTGTGCAACAAGACTTGGATTTTTTTTTTTTTTTTCAGAAAAAGCTCTATATTTACTGCCTACAGCAGAGAAAACTTTACTAAAGCTATTCTACAGAAAACTAGTGTGATCTGACAAGAAACAAGGATTAAATACACTGCTAGGCAATCAGTGTTCCCGTGTTAGCCTTGAAGAACCTAACTTTTATAGTAACACTTTTTTGGGGAAGAGTGTTGCTAGCTAGGAAACAAAATGCAGGTATAAATAGTAGTATAAGGTCTAAAGATATCAAATACCAAGCTAATAAAAGGTAGTAGCTGAAGTCTATGTTAAAGGACTAGCTTCTAAATGAGTTTGTGCAGCACAGTAGAGATGCAAAATGTACCCAAAGTTGTTGTTGGTTTTTTTTATATTTAGTAACACTGACATTATTTATTAATAATTTTACCAGAACTCTCCCTGAACTTTTCACTAGGCTTTAAAAAATTAATGATGGTAAAGTAAGTAAATTAAAATGAATGAGAAGAACAAAAGAGGATTTCTAAACTGACCAGCAAGAACACATTTGCTCCTGTGGATATATTTTTTACTTCTTTCTCTCTTCCCCCAGGCTCTCAATATAAAAAAAGAGCAAGAATTTGAAGTCCAACAGCTATGGGTTCAAATCCCAGCTTAATAACATGGAAACATATACACTATCATATGTAAAATAGATGGCCAGAAAGGATTTGCCGTGTGATTCAGAGAACTCAGACTAGGACTCTGTAACAACCTAGAGGGGTGGGAAGAGATGGGAGGTGGAAGGGAGGTTAAGAGGAAGAGGACATGTGTGTCCCTAATGTACAACATGACTGATTCCTGCTGGTGTATGGCAAAAAGCAATACAATATTGTAAAGCAGTTATCCTTCAGTCAAAAAGAAACAAATTTTTAAAAAATGCTCCATCTCCCTGCATTCTGGTTGCCCCATCTGGGTATAGAAATCAACAAATTCACACATGGATCTTGTGGAGGAATGAAAGAGATGATGATGTGAGAGAGAATCTCCCAGCCCTGGACAGAGGGTTAGGCTTTTGATGGCTTTTGGCAGAGGCTGCTCCTAAGTACTCTTCCTATCTCCTGATTTATCTCCTGCAACATACCTGGTCACCAAGCTCTGTTGACTTTTCATCTTTAATATCTTTCATTTCCTTTGGACCCCGCCAACATCATCTGTATTCAGATTTTCTCGGTTCTTTCAGGATTACTGTGATAACCACTAAGCTCTACTCTTGAGAATGTCTTCAGCCTCATGCTCTCCATTCTATCCTCACTGTCCCTCTCATCAGGATGACTTTTGTAAAGTACAAATCTGCCAAGTTGGAATTCTAGGTCTTCTACTTAATATCTTCATGACTTGGAACAAGTTACATGGATTCTTCCATACCATAACCAAAATCTATAAAATAAGGACAACTTTTTTCTAGCTCAGAAAGTTGATAAAAGGATTAAATATGGTTTTATATATATATAATATACATATATATATGTTAACACATAGAAATCACTCAATAATTGTCAACTGCTCTTTTCTTGATCATTCTTGCTGTTCTTATGATTCTCCATGAATCACCAGTTGGGCAGTGTTAAAATAAAATAAATCATGATACTTGAGACCTTTTCAGACTCTACCTGACCCCCCACCAAATCTCACACCACTCATTAAGTAGTGTGTTATCATACAGAATCAATAAACTGCATTCAGCCCAGGATAGAAATAATTAGGTAAGTGAGGGATTCAGTAGAACAATTAGGTTGTTTATAGTACTGCTGATAAAAATTCTATACAAAAATTGGTTCTCCTAAGAAGTGATTACAGAAAATCAAACTAAATACCCTCAAAGGATTCAGTAACTTTACCCTAAATATCCTTCCTGCCTTTTCTTCTTCAAGTTCTCATTAGAATGCAGTAATATATTCAAACTAGCAGTTTCCCAAGTTGCATTTTCAAACTTTAAGGTGTGTATTATATATGTACACAGAGATGGGCTTTCTACAACCCAGTCTCTCAAAGGTCCTACAGCTGCTTAAAAGTCTTACCTGACATTCTTCTGAACCAGTTGGGTTTCTTGTCCCATATAATAAAGAGATAGTAGGCAGGAACCCCAGTCAGAGTGATGATGAAGCCAACCCCCGTGCTAAATGGGTCTGAATAAAGGGAAAGGGCGACCATGAAGAGACACGTGAAGGAAAACAAGGCTGGGATGAACAGCGGCACCTGGAACAACAAACAAGAAAACCATTGCAAACGCGGCTCAAGAGACGGGAGGCAGAGTCAAGTCGAGCGCGTCAGTCACGTGATCAGGTGACACGCTTTGATCGTGCAACCAGGTGACGGGCACCATGCTACTTACCTTTCTACGAAAATCTCTTGACAAGGGCACAGAGCAGATACTGATTTAAAAACACTCCTTTACATTAAAAATAAATCTTTGGGTAGAACCGAATCTAAGGATAAATAAGTGTTTCATTAGAGATGTTCTGTTTGAATTCTTTTACAAGTTAAGTACCATTATGATTTATGTTTCTGATTGTAAAAGATTGCTTCTTTGATAATTATGATTAGAATCCACTTTAATGTAGAGCCAAGAGCACAGGCTGCTTGTTACATGTTAAAGCCTTTCAGTGCATATTGATTTTCTGTTGGAAATTCACAATAGGAACTGACAGGGATAAAATAGGCCAACTCCTTTTCAACCACTAATAAAGATGTTGCCAGCATTAGGTAATGAATATAATTAGAAACAAATTCTGACAACATGATGGACAACATTATCTGTGTTATTTCTTAAAAGCAAATATATAGTGAGTTCAAATCAATCCATGAACATTCAAGGCTGAAGGAGATGAGAAGCATATTCGTCAGCCTTCTCAAAAGGAAATGCTTCATTATGGTAAATGGACATTCTATTAAGTGGTGAATTCATACATCTTCACTTTCTTACATATTTTACATCTCTATTACTTCTGGAGTGCATCATGCGGAAAAGGGGCAATGTGACAAGTCATAACACTCAAGAATACTCAAAATGCCTTTTTCAAAAAGCAGCATCCTTTTCAGAGGCTTCCCTAGTAGTGTTAGTGGTACATAATCGGCCTGCCAATACAGGAGATGCAAGAGAAGCAGTTTTGATCCCTGATTTGGAAGATCCTCTGGAGAAGGAAATGGCATCCCACTCCAGTATTCTTGCCTGGAAAATCCCATGGACAGAGGAGCCTGGCAGGCTACAGTCCATGGGGTCACAAGGAGTCAGACAGGATTTAGTTATTAAATAACAATAATTCCTTTTTAGAGTTTTAATTAGTGACGATTTCATATGTATCTGCCTCACTCTTTCTCAGCATGATTGTCCACAACTATTCAGCATAAAAGAGTAGTCTTTACTTTGAATGTATCACATCATTAGACACATTAATGAAAAATCAACATAACGACCATTTAATATTAATACCCCATTTCAAAAGTGCGACATACAAAGCCCGCTACATCACCAACAAGCTAATCAACTATTTTTCCAAATGAAAATAAATCCCATATGAAGGCATCACCTGCAAGGGTTAAACGTTTTATTTTAGAGGATTCTGCCCTCTGCCCAAGCTCCTCATCATCAAGTTATGACAGAGAGGGCCAGATATTAGGAGGAAGATTTATGTAAACCCATGAAGATTGCTGCGGTTACCTTGAAAGGACGATGCATATCTGGGCGTTTGTATCGAAGATAAATCAGCCCAGCAACTGCCAGCCCAATAAAAAGCCACCTGGCAAAACTGAGGAAATTCAGAAGACTGTAGAGGTCTCCAGAGAAGAGCATTATCATTGTCAAAGGGTGCTGGGGGAAGGAAGAGAAAATCACACTCAGCGAGTTAAGAGGGAACAAGCATGAAAACAAGCAATAACATCACTACACAATGTTATTGTATTGTCCAAATGACTATTTTTACTGATAAACTAGCATCATGATTAAAATCTATACTCAACTACCCTCCTAGCTATATCTTACTCTTTACTCCTACGTACACACATACATGGATGTGTTATTTTTCGCTGTTTTTCATTAAGAGAATATGTTTTCCAAAAGTAAAACATAGGACACTCTATAACTCAAAATTTAAAGACCCAGAGGGCAGAGATGGTTAATAACTAACAATAAAAATTAAAAGTGCATCCAATACAAAAATTTACAGAAAGCTCTGTGAACGGTGTCTGGTGAGCTCCTGGCTATGCACACACAGGAACTTCTAGGTGACTGTGTGGTCTCCTGAATGCAAAACATGACCTTTCTTCCCCCAACACTTCCTTTCCCCATGTGCCTGCCAGGTGTGACCCTCAAGACCACAGAAAAGAATGAAGCGCAGAGATCAGCATAGCAAGTCTCTCCAGCTGCACATACCAAGGACAGCATGACTGATAGCGGAAGCTTAAAGGGAAAAAAACCCTCTTCACCGAATAAATACATTCTGTTCCCAAAGTGAGGTAAACTTCCAGATGCCACACAGAGAGTAAACATACTTGACAAAGAAATTTCAAGGAGACATTCTGAAACAAATGAAATTCATGGGAAAAATGAAAGATGTTTCAATGCATGATTCCATGGGAGAAAATTGTTACAAAATAGTAAATAAAAAGGAATATAACATTGCCCATGAGGATTTGAGGACTTGAACACCTTACACAGTCTTCTGTATCCCACATTTTGCAATACTTTCTTCTGCATAAAGAATCCTTCAGCTCAAGTTTAAATAGTGGTGCTTTTATTCTTTTCCTTTAGGCTGCCCTCAAAAGTCTCACTTTTAAGCACAGAATCACTGCAGTGTCTGGGATTTCATTGACTTTTTCTATAAATGTGTATGCATCTCATCATATGGGGTCTCTGATGAGACATCTGGATATTTGGGGACTATAGCTTTTAGCTCTACTTTCAATAAGTAGAATTGGGACTTTTTACTCTATAGCATTTTCTGTGAAGGCTCTAAGTCATTGACAAAAGCCCAGGTAATCGTTTCCCTTCCATTTCACAAATTTTTACAAAGGTGAAAGAGAAGTGACTTGGTTATTGCTCCAAAGCACCAAATATGCATCAGCACTGATAAAGAAGCTGCCTGCAATACAGGAGACCCCAGTTCCATTCCTGGGTTGGGAAGCTCCCCTGGAGAAGGGATAGGCTGCCCACTCCAGTATTCTTGGGCTTCCCTTGTGGCTCAGATGGTAAAGAATCTGCCTACAATGTGGGAGACCTGGGTTGGGAAGATCCCCTGGAGAAGGGCATGGAACCCACTCCTGTATTCTTGCCTGGAGAATCCCCATGAACAGAGGAGCCTGGAGAGCCACAGTCCATGGGGTTGCAAAGAGTTGGACACAACTGAGCAACTAACCATAGCACAGCATGCTGGATAAAGAGAAGCAATGGAAGACATCCTGTCTCTCTAACTCCACCATGAACAAAGAGGGCCAATTTAGAAGTGAATGAGAACAGAAAGAAATCTTCCTTACTAACCTGTCCTAGAGGCTATATCTAGATACACATGTTAATATGCATTACCAAAACAATGACAGCTGGCAGAGGAGTGTGCTTTCGGATGTGAATCATAGAGAGGATTTCTGGAAGGTGACCCTCCCGGGATGCAACATAGAATAACCTGATGGGAGAAAAATGCATAATTGATCATTTCCAAGGGGGAAAATCCAGAAAGCTAAGAGAAAACTTGTACCATCTTTGCACCAAATGGTGATTACATAGGTTTTACTTTTTAAAGTAGAGTATGTTATGAGAAATTAAATTTTGAATTTTATAAATATCTGCCAAAATATGATTCCTTGAGGAGAAACAATAACAACATCTGACTCAATACAGCTGTGCCCCCATATACATAGCTGGTGGGGAATTTAGTTCTAGATTCCTATTATTACCTGTGTGCTGTCAATCCAACACAACATACACACACACAAAAAACATTCATATTTATCTGACTGGGTTTTCATCACATTAAATCAAAATGGATTTCTAGACAAAACAAGAGGGATGCAGATGGTGGGATGATGATTTCTTGTACCTATTACTTTACTTTTTTTTCTTGACAACTTTTCTTTAGAGAAACCAAAGATTTTATTACCAGAAATAAAATGCTGTTATAGACATACATCAAACAAAAACAAAAACAAAAAAACCCTTGATGCCTGGCTTCAGAGTAGGCTATGAGCAGACAAGCAGTGCCCTCTAATGGACAGAGCAGGAGGAGCTGAGGGAGATTTCGATCTCGCGTGTCCCTTTAAAAACAACAGGTTTGGAGGCATGATTTCTTTTCTTCTTAAACTTATCCTTATCACATCCTATCTCAAAAACAGAAATGCCTTTCTAGAAATGCTTGAACTCACTCACCTGGAGACAGCAAACACACCGCCATTCATGGAGCCAAAGCAGGATAGGGCAACAAAGATCGGAACCGCTAATGAGAAATTTCCCAGGAGCCGCTCAGAAAAGGTCTAGTGAAAGGCAGAAGGGAGCAAATTAATGCTTTGCCAGAAAGTAGAATAAAATGAAACAGTTTAGGCCAAACTTGCTCCATGACTCTCTGTTCACCTGGTGATACGTGTGTGTTTTACAATCCTTCTTTTGGGTTAGGGTCAGACTAACCTCTTAGAATAATAATCAAAGGGAGGTAGCCTTGCTTGCTATGAAACTATGGATGACCGTCTAAACAAGCACCTTTCCTCTACCTTCAAAAAGCAGTGACCCATTTATCAAATCTATCAACTATGATATATATTGTCTCTCACTCTGGTAAGTAAAAAAAATCTCAGTTTGGAATTTCTCCTTTTGGAGACAGAAATCCTTCTGTATGATACCTTCTCTTTAGTCTGGAAAGCCACATGTTTATAGTGAAGTACAAAGGTAGACTGAGAAGTGTTGCAGATACTTATTTCATATACCAATCCTAGTGTTATGACTTAGAAGTGTGATGAAAAATAAGTGATGACTTAATATGTGTATCATGGATAAGAATAGTTCTGAAAATCTTTTGCCCCAGAAAAATCACATCAGCTGCCATCTCTGTTTCTCAAGTCAATCCCACCCTTTCAGGTATCTGCCAGTTCCTTCTGAAGTTTCTTATTAAAAGGTTAGAATGCCAATATAAGTCTGAGGACATCAAGTCACAGAAAATATAAAAGAGAAACCAAGTTTATGACATTTCCTTTTATTCTATGGCAGGTGCAAGACCGCACATTTTCATGAAGGATATATTTTTCAAAAAAAAAAATATGTGGGATTCTTTACTTGTCCTTGAGCAGCTGGCGCTATGTAATTAATGTACCACATTACGCTCAGAGACTAAGTGCTGCCCTTTGTCTAGTAAGATGAGATGACGACCTGACATCAGGAAGCTCTGTGCATTTGGTTGTCTGGTAGAAGTTACAGCAGTGGGCAAAGTCTTCTTTAATACAGTGAACTCGTACATAGGTTCACAAGAAATGGGATAATTTGTTCCCTGTGGATGTTCCCCGTGGATGATTATTATGAGGTAATAGTGACTATTTTAAAAGGAACTGACATCTAGTGGTGGAAAGTTCTTTTTTTCCCACCCTTCATTGTTACAAGGTCATGAATGAGTGCTCTCTTACTAGCTAAGTTTTTATACCAAAAAGTCTGTGTCACGGAAGAGCAGTCCCATAACATGACCTCTGGAAGCAAAAGATGGTCTTGAAGTCAAATAAATTTTGGAAAATGCTGTGAAATTATAAGTATCCACTTCTTAGGAAGTTAAAATACACATTAGCTTCTGTGATATTCTGAGAAGTACAATAAAGATGACATCTGTTTAACTTTGAATAACTCTATTTCCCCAAATTAATAATATCCTAGGAGCTAGTATTCAAAAGGATATATATACTAGGGAAAAAAAATGAATGCATATGGTCTGCTTGGAAATTCTAAAGTGATACTTTGGGAAAAAGATTTTAAGTTAGCATTTGAAAAGTGTCTAAACAGGAAAGAGTACAGAATACATTGCAATTTGCATATCCCCCAAATGAATTCATTTAAACTCAGTAACTGCCCACCTGTCCTTAAAGACACATTGGAAGAATAATGCCTTCTATTCAATGTGTATGTGTGGAAACGTGTTTTCAGGCTGGTATATGTGGACACATTTTACATGAAATTAATTATACAGAAATCCTATAGGATTGTAGTTGTATCAGTGGCTACAGCTGTAGCTATAGCTGTGGCTTAGTTAAATGGAATATGCTAAGGTATGTCCTAAATTTTTAAAATATTATCATTCAGTTGAAAAAAATTACTAAATTACCAAAACACTTTCCACTGGAGTGAACTCTTATAAAACTGCATCAATTCATTAGCCTAAATTCAAACTGGCATTAACCCAACTTAGACTTACCACTGCCACTGCATTTGAAAGCATCAGTTCCTCGGCACTAATGGTTGTGAAATAGGCCACGTTTGTTAGCACATAGCCAACAGTGACAATGGCCATGGATATACATATTGCAAGGGGGATGGTTCTGAAATGCACAAAGGAATTGCTTATTAGTCATCTTTTGTTAGTCATTTCTCTGAGACCAAAGAAAATAGCAGGCTCATTCAAAGCAAAAACTAAAATGGTATGGATAACTACAGGCTCTGTTGGGTATGTATAAACATTTCATCTGGGTGAACCTTTGTAATTTAATAAGGTCCACGAGGGGAGATACTACATTTGTCTTATCTACTGCTCTGCCCAGAACATATGGGTCTGTCCCATTCTTTTACTCCACAGATCTTAGAGCAGTGTTTCGCACACTTGAGCATGCATCACCTGGAAGGTTTGTTGAAACACAGATTGCTGAGCCCACCTCAAGAATTTCTGATTCAGGATGATTTGCATTTGTAACACCTCCCTGGGTGATTCTGATGCTGCTGGCCAGGGTACCACACTTTGAGATCCAATGGCCTTTCAAATGCCTTTCAAATACTAATTCACTTGGCTTGACAACCTTTATAAAACTAGTTTCCAAAACCATCTTTTGCATTCAGTGTTTTCCCCTTCAGTAATTCTCCTTGCCATCAAATAAGTGTACAGTATTTGAAGCACAGGAACAGGGTATATCTACCTCCTAAATGATGGCAATAATAATTTTGTACATAACACAAAAAGCCTAAAAGTGCTTCCAATAATGGCTTTGCACTGCCCTGCTGTGAGTTCAAAGGAAGCTCAAGATCATGAGTATCTATTAAAGCCATAGCACAGATAATCCCATGAAATTAGAGGTGACATGCTGTGAAGTACATATGACCGGACAGCACTGACACGACGCAGCATCATGAAGTATCCGGCACAAATGCAATGCTATGTCTTCATTTAATGCACTTGGAAAGCCACGAAGTCACTGACCCTAATAATTTGATTCCATGTTACCGATACACATTACTTGCTTAACATAATCACCTCTTCAGACTCTTTCCGGTTCAAGCAACTTAAACCTTCAGCTCCCTGCACAAAGGCTGATGGGGTTTTTTAGCCATAGAACTTATCAGCCCTCATGGAGCCTTAACCCTCCTGGATGCCACTAATGAAGACCACCATATAATTTCTTCCAAGATGAAAATACAGTTCTGAAAACAGGATGAAAAAAAGGCACAGCCTGCCTCACTCCCCAAGCTGGGTGTGTTGAGCACACGAAGTCCCAGCTCATTACGCTGAATTCTCTATCCCCTGTAGAGAACAGGCAAACCCAGCCAGTCAGCAACTGCCATTCATTACGGTGCTTGGAGCCCGACACTTCCACTGAAAGCCTTAAGCCTTAAGCCTTGATGGGGAAACACACTGACCTCTAAAATCCTGGCATCCTAACAGGAAGGGAGCAGATGTTCCCCTTCCCCAGCGTGAAGAGGGCCCTATGGAATTTGCTGTTCACACCATAACACTCATTGCTCACGGTGATTGATAAATGCTAAGTGAAACGGAAGGAACTCACTGGGCCAATACAAAGCAGAGGGCTAAATGGCACAGGGCACATTAAAGGCGAATCCTGTTTGGGCGCTTCCCCGGTGGCCCTTGTGGTAAAGAACCTGCCTCCCAACAGGAGATAAAAGAGATATGGGTTTGATCCCAGGGTGGGGAAGATCCCCTGGAGGAGGGCATGGCAACTCCCTCCAGTATTCTTGCCTGGAGAATCCCATGGACAGAGGAGTCTGCCAGGCTACAGTCCGTGGGGTCGCCACGAGGTGGACACAACGCAAGCGACTTAGCACAGAAGGATGCCTGTTTCTTCGAAAGAGAGGTGGCAGATCAATGCAAAGGCAGAAGAAGCTGAGCACGAAGGTGAATGGGCAACTCTTCAACCACTCACTGTATTCCTTTAAATTTGAATCCCTAAGCTTCTATAACATCCCAAATGGGGCTCTGAGTTCTTTCTGTGGAGGAGGGAAGCAGAGAGGGAGAGACTCTCTAGAGATTCCTCGCAAGAGGATTAAGAAATGCGAAGGCTCTGCTAATAAAAAGTGAAGTGACTTATTGTTCAGAGCAGTGAAGTCGCCTAGACCGTCCAGGACAGCTGGTACTGTCAATCAATGATGCTGCCACAGAGCAGAGAGAAGTGAGTCTGAAATGTGATGCTGGCTCTCTCAGCAGAGAACCTAGCCTCCTGAGGCACCCTCCCTGTTTCCTGCCCAGAGATTACGGTCTTTCTGAGGGGGGATTTCTAAACTGACTACAGCAGAAGGGGTCTTAAAAAAGATTGAAGTTTCCAGGTTAGTTTCCCTTTCTTTTTTTCCTTCCTCAACTTGCCAATAACAAAAACAGCAGCAGCAACTCTGCTATGTACCCCCTACTTCATATATTTGTCTCATTTTACCCTTGGAAAATTCTGTGATTTAGGAGCATCATCACCATTTTATATATGAGTAAATGAAGTCTTAGTTTAAAGAACTGTTCAGGATACACAGCTGAGAAGTGAAACCCCAGAGTTCAGCCACAGGTCTAGCTTACCTTGAAGTCAAAGCACTTAAAACCACTAAAGAATATTCTCTCTCATGTATGTGGGTCTTCAAACTCAATTTTCAGAGAAATCGTAACTATTGAATATGTATAATATTCATTGGAAGCTCTTATCATGGCTGTATTCTTTATGTATTCACTGAAAATGCAGTTTCATGTAGTATGAAGGAAGGGAAAAGACTTATTCTAGGATTCTCATAAATTATTAAACATTATAGTTCTTAAGAGCTATACTTCAGTTTTTCTGTCTTATGTGAACTATAATGTCAAGGAAATGTTTTCAAAAGTCTCAATATTTAGGAAATACTGGTTCCTTCTTAATTTAAAAACAACAAAAGCTCACTGAGTAAACTTCCCTAGACAACTCTTACAGAAAAGGAGGAAAAGTAAGCATACATATCAGATAATTTGAAATAGATTATTAACAGTTTTACTATCAGCCAAATACACTATATAGATACCAGAGGGGGGAGAAAAATCTAAGGAATTTAAACTATAGGATAAAAGAGGAAAAGGGTCTAACCTTGCAGCAATTCACAATAAGCCCAGTAATTCCTCTTGAGGTAACATTAAGCCATGGGAATTGGAGAGGATGAGGCCAGATAGCCACTAGCTTCTGTCCTTAAGGTTCCATTTCAGTTTCACAAAGGGAAGGAGAGGAGGTTGTGGCTGCCTTGGCATAAACAGCGATCATTTACTGAGGAAAACAGTTCATTTGTTCAGAAGGGCTTGGCACCATGTGCGTAACTCCTGGATTTCAAGCAGCAAAGCCTAAGAGCCACTGGGTGAGCTGATAAAAGCTCTTAGGCCATGCAGAGGCAATCTTTCTGGCGGCTTTAGATGCAGAGGGCAGATAAGCACAGTTAGTACCCAAGATTAAGGCAAATGGCATACGATAATAAAAGGAATCAAGGGAACTGGTAGGCCACTGATATTTCAAAGCCTCTGTGTTACTGTGAGGTATGCACCAATTGTAAATGCAACAAAAGCATTGTCTTTAAGCTGAATAAAAATGATTTGCACCTATGACTTCTACTCTTTCAAATGTTTGTGCATTTTTTTTAATGATTGGCAAGATACTGATTATTAGCAAGATAGTATTGGGAAAAGAGACTTAATCCTTAAGAGCTTTTTTGTCATATCTATCTATATATATACCTGGCTTCCCAGGTACGGCAGTGGTAAAGAATCTGCCTGCCAATGCAGGAGACAGGGGTTTGATCTCTGGATCAGGAAGATCCCCTGAGGAGGATATGGCAACCCACTCCAGTATTCTTGCCTGGAGATTTCTATGGACTAGGAGCCGGGTGGGCTACAGTCCATAGGGTTGCAAAGAGTCAGACAAGACTTAGAAACTAAATAACAACAAACTATATACACAGATAGACAGATAGATGGATATACTCTTTTCAATTATGTATTAATGGTAAGAATTAAGTGAGAATCTGATATTTTTATTAATTGAAAATAGTCTCCAATTAAAAGGTCTTGGATAGTCTTTTGTTGTAGGCTTATTTTAAATTGGCATCTGTAACCAGTCTATGTAACACATGGATAAATGTTTATTTTATCAGAAATTATTAAATGGAGGTCTCTGGAACATCTGCTTAGAAGCACTCTCATTCTAGAGATAGATTTCCTCCGAAATTTAAATAATCCCAATAGGAATGGCAGGTAGATTATATTTGTACAATCTACAAAGTGCTGGCAGATACATTTTATCTCCAAATACACACATGGCATTTCATATTCTTTGTGAAATAAAATAGAATATGAACAAATGACAAAATCCAAAACTCACTGAAATAGGAGGCAATACCAGTATCTTCAAACACGGCTCAGAGAGGTTACACGACTCAACAGGCCAAGGTCACAAAAGTAGTAAGCATGAGAGCTGGATCTTGAACCTAGATCTTCCAATGCTAAGTTCCACATTCATGGAATTTATCTCATCCAGGATAACATGTCTGCTTGTGCCTACCTGAACTCTAGGTACAAAGTTCCTAGGATCCTCACATGCTGACAAACATATACTCTATTTGTATCACAAAGATCAGAAGGCTGATATCTCTGATGTTACCATGTGACACATTTTAAGCCAAGTATATTTGACTATGCACCTTAATCATCACAAATGATGCAGCATGGGATGCATTTTTAATACACTTTGCATCTATATGATTGAGCATCAAAAGCGATCATTGTTTCTAGCTTCATATTGGCTAAAAAGACTCCTGCCCTGAAAACAGAATTAACAAATCTAGCTTGATTCTTCAGAGTTGAGGAACCTGAAGGTCACAAAGATTTCTGATATTCAGACCATCTGAGTAATTCTGTAATCACTTGAATTTCTGGATATTTCTAAAGCTATTTTATAACTGGCATAAAATCTTCTGAGATTTATGTAAATGAAAGTAAGTTTCATACATTCATCTGTGGATATACCCACTGGGGACCACAAAACTCATCGGTCCCTGGGCATCTAAAATTGTCTTTGAGCGATGAAATTGGGCATGATGACAGTTC